CGCCAGACAGAGTCAGCGACTCTGGATAATGTGTTGGTGTGGCCTACAGGCTTGGACATTGCCTCAATACTTCATTGTATTGCTCTTTATGGATGGTTTTCTCGGTGCATTTATACTCTCTACTTGGGATACTACTACTTGCTCAGCGTCCGGCCTACTGCAATCAATCAATCAATCAATCAATCAATCAATCAATCAATCAATTAATCAATCAATCAATCAATCAATCAATCAAGAAAAAAAAAACGAACAGAACGAAAAAAAAATTCCAATCGAATCAGTGGATTCGATTGGATCTTGATATTCGATATTAAGATCCAATTGAATCCACTGATTAGATTGGATTTTTTTTTTTCGTTCTGTTCGTTTTTTTTTTTTTTAATCATTCAATCAATCAATCAATCAATCAATCAATCATCAATCAATCAATCAAGAAAAAAAAAACGAACAGAACGAAAAAAAAAAATCCAATCGAATCAGTGGATTCGATTGGATCTTGATATTCGATATCAAGATCCAATCGAATCCATTGATTCGATGGGATTTTTTTTTCCCGTTCTGTTCGTTTTTTTTTTTCTTGATTGATTGATTGATTAATTAATTAAAAAAAAAAAATTGTGACCTCTCCACCTCGTCCCTCCTACTCTCTTACTCCTCCTCCTCCTTCTCCTCCTCGTCCTCGTCTGCCTCTTGTTCGTCGTCGTCGTCGTCCTCCTCCTCCTCCTCCTCCTCCTCCTCCTCCTCCTCCTCCTTCTCGCCATCCTCCTTCTATCATTGAGGATGAACGTCGATCTGTAGTTCGACATTGGTTGGGGTTGATCATTGATGTCTAGCATGTATCGGGATCCGAGCAACCAACCAATCAATCAATCAATCCTACTATCATTAAATCAAACGACCAATAGAACCGCGGTTTTTCTTTCTATTTGTGTAGGTTATGATCGAAGGCAGTAATGCAGATGCTGGATTACGTGCGACAGAGATATACATAAAGATATATAGAGATAGATAGATAGATAGATAGATAGATAGAGAGAGAGAGAGAGAGAGAGAGAGAGAGAGAGAGAGGTGGTTGTGTGATGTCCCGACCAGGATCATGAGGGAGGTTCACCAGCCTCCCAAACGGGGAGGCGCCTTTCCAGGAGGCCGATGAGAGTCGACAGCGCTCGCTGCAAGGGAAGCATGTGGTATGGGAATGGGTGCATCAGGGGCAGGAGGCGGGAGTGCGAGGAAAGGGGCAGTACAAGTTGTGTTGCACGTTGTGCAACCACATATGGGTTGGGGCGCGGACAAAGGCAAAGGACCACTTTACCCGCCCGGTTGCGCACTGCACATTTCGTACAGGAGAGATTTTGTACAAGTTAATGAGAGACGAGGTCTCCATCACGGACCCCTTGGGGAGGGCTATGGCTGAGAGGCACATGGATGTCCGCGAGGAGGAGTTGGAGAAGGAGGACCTGCGGAGGGCCGATGACGCGGCCACCCCTGCTGCACGCATGGCAAATGACCGGGCTGCTGACCACAGAGAGGAGTGGGGAGGCCGAGGGGCGGATCCCCCCATGAGGGATGAGGGACGGGTTGGTGGTGTGCGTGCAGAGGACGAGCTCACTACGCTGAGAGAGAGGATAGGCGTCCTCGAGGCGGGGCGACAGCCGACCCGCTCGGATGACACTTTAGGACAGTGTTCGAGGCGGGGAGTGGACATGGCGTGGCTCAGGACGGAGGGCACATCTGGCCCATCGGGCGTCGTCGTGCCCCATGATCGTCGAATGCTGCAGACGAGGTTGGATAGTTGGGCCAGTGGGGGTTTGCAGCAGCAGTACGAGAGGTTGTGGGCGAGAGCGTTGTTCAGGGCTGGGGTACCTTTCTCGTTCATGCGCCTCGAGACCACGCAGGAGTTGCATGACTTTATGGTGTCATTGATGCGGGTGACGATTGGGCCAGCTTTGGTCCTACCCTCATACACAGACATGCGCACAAGGCTCCTAGATGAGATCTACCACGAGATTGCGGAAAGAGTTGCGTCGAAGAAGGCGAAATGGAAGCTCACAGGGTGTCCCATGATGACAGACGGGGCTACAACGAGGTCGTACAAGCCTGTCGTTAACTTCATTGCAGCAGGCGAGGACGGGCCAGTCTTGATCACCACGGTCGACATGTCGGAGAGGGATAAGACTGGTGTGGCACTCGCGGATCTGTGGGAGGACGTCATCCGAGATATTGGCGTTGACGTTGTCAATGCGTATTGCACTGACAATGCTTACGCCAATAAGGTGGCTGCGCAGCGGTTCCAGGACCATCCCGACAACGCCATCTCTCGGATCCCTTGGCTCCCCTATGCGGCCCATTGCTTGAGTCTCCTCCTTCGAGACATCACGTGCTTTCAGTGGGTGCGCCCTATTTTGAAGAACACACACAAGGTTGTGATGTTCTTCAAGAACATTCAGAAGGCCCTCACGTATCATCGCTCCTTTAAGGGCCGAGGGCAGTTAGAGTTGATCCGACCATGTGACACACGGTTCGGGTCAGCATTCCAGATGGTGGAGCGCCTTACCGATCAGGAGCGCATATTGAGGGATGTTGTGGGCAGTGTGAGATGGCGCTCCATCCCGTGGAAGGGGAAGGCAGCCCAGGATGAGCGCCCCGTTCGACAACTTGTGATGTCCAACTTGTTTTGGGAGAGTGCACACCGCGTACAGGATGTCATGCAGTCGGCGTATAGTCTGTTGCGGACATGGATAGGGACGGTTCTTCCCCCCCCACCCTGTGGGGGGTTGTGGACAGGATCAGACAGCGAGTTCGTGACACTGGTCTTTCTGTGGAGGAGGAGACAGAGATTTTGGATAGGGTGGAGACCGTGGAGTACCGTTGCAGCATGATGCGTCAGCCAGCACACGCGCTCGCATACCGGGTGGACCCGCGACGACGAGATCTGTCTTTGTTGGCGGATACTGGCAGCACGGTTGTGCAGAGTGCGCTGGATTATTTGTCCAGGTTCACTGTCGATGGCCCGGGGTCAGAGGAGCACGACAAGTTGTGGTTCGCTTTGTACTTGTTCCACCACAATGATCCCCACGTGAGCCCCAGGCCAAAATGGTGGACGGACGACAAGGTGAAGGCGGACGCTGGGAGGATGCACCCCGCGTATTGGTGGTATCTACATGGTGGCGACTTCCCGCGTTTGCGGGAAGTTGCCATCAAGGTGCTCGCTATCTGGTCCACTGCCTCTCCTTGCGAGAGGAATTGGACCTCGCACGACTTCATTCACTCAAAGAGGCGCAATAAACTTTCGAGTGACAGTCTGCGGAAGCTCGTGTTCATCCATTGGAACATGCAGCTTCTGCGAGCTCAGTCGGGTCCCCGGAGGGGTTTCGTGGATGTTTGGGAGGATATGGTGGAGGATCCGTCGGAGCCGCAGGTCGGCGCTGCCTCTGAGGAGGTGTATGACGACAGCATGACGATCCCTGAGGAGGTGGAGGCAGATATTCGTAGTCGACGCAAGGAGGGGGGGGATCGTGCTAATGCACGACTGTTGCAGGGGCGGGACTACGAGGATGAGGACGAAGAGGACGTCATTTACGAGGCGGATGACATCTGGGAGGGGAAGGATATGATCGAGGAGATTGCGGCAGCAGGGAAGGGGAAAGAGGTAGTGCGTGATGACCCTCTCGTCTCTCGTGTGTGGGACAGATGGAGGGGCCTTGACATTGTGGATGACCTGGACAGCTACCTGCACGGCTCCAGACACACCCTTCATATGATGAAGGACATTCACGAGTGTCGCAGACCGGATGAGGGGAGTGCAGGGGTTCAGCAGGACCGTCATGTGGATACGGGCTTTCGTGCGACCACCTTCGACGGTGAGGCAGACTCTTGTGCAGCTACCACAGAGGTAGGATCGACACGCACGACGGAGGTGGTAGTCCCCCCCCCCGCTGCTCCATCGTTTGGTATGCCATCTGTTGTTGGGACAGGAGCGGAGCATTGTGATGCCCCTATCCCAGGACGTGTAGCACAACAACCATGTCCCGCCGTTGAGGAGCAGGGGAGCGCTCCTATTACCGAGGAGCGTGTGACACATGCCACTGTTTTAGAGGAGCCGCATCCCGTTGTCGAGGATCAGGTGACAACTCCCGCTGCGGAGGAGTTGGAGGCCGCTACCGTCATCTCTGGGCAGCAGACTAGGTTGGACGGCAGGGCGCGAGAGACAGAGGGTGTTCCCACATCGTTGTCATCCCCAGCGCGGCATGACCCATCTGCGTGTACGGGCACGGATGATACCACCCTTGCACCCTTCCATTCAACGGTGCCCCTTACTATCGGGGAGGTTGTGGCAAGACATCACACTGGGCACGCGTGTGTGATGGAGACAGCCACACACACAGGTATTGTGCAGCAGGAGGGAGTTGTTACGGATGAGGGGGGCCACGAGACAGACATAGAGCCCCCTTCCACAGCCGAGGAGGTTGCTCCCACATCGGCAGAGGCCACTCGTACATTAGAGAGCACAGAGCCGCACACAGCAATGATGACGACGACAATTGGAGGGGGTCCTGGAGCTGGGATGACTTCCGCTGCACTTCGGCCTGTGTCATTCTATACCGCTCCTCCGCTGTCTGTCTTACATGGTCGTGCTGTGGTCCGCGGACCCGGCTTGACTCTTCCCCCTCGTACATCGTCTCCTACTGCCACGACGCCTGTTGGGCGGTTGTCGTCATCCATGAGCATAGCAGCACAGCATTCGCAGGGCAGTCGAGGTGTTCCATCGGTGGCCCCAGTGGCTCGCAGTCATTTGAATCCTGTGTGCAGTGGACCGGTCGCTTCAATTGCGGTTCCTCCACTCCCTACTCGAGTGTCGTCTGCCATTGTTGACAACACTTCGACGAGAGGGAGGAAGAGGAAGGCCCCTGACACACATGGGCGAGAGCAGCCACAGAGACCTGCAGTGCAGGGTAGACCACGCAGGTGCCCCCCAGGGGGTCGATCGGGGAGGGGTAGAGGGAGACAGGGCGCCGCAGGAGCAACAAAGAGGTTGTTGGGGTCGCTCGGTGCTATAGGGGGCGGGTCGCCAGCGCCCATATCCATGCATGGAGTGAGGACTCGTTCTCGTGGTGCTGCGGACAGGACGAGGCGCGTCGAGGTTCAGGAGGACGACGATGATGATGAGAAGGGCAGTGGTGACGGGTCGGAGAGCGAGTACGAGGCTCCGTCACACTCCTCAGATGATGACGACGACGCAGATACTGAAGGGGACGCTGTTGCCGCCCAGTAGGCTGACGAGGTCACGATGGTCGAGGACTGCTGCTGCAGAGAGAGAGAGAGAGGGAGAGAGAGAGAGAGA